CCCTTCTAGCTACAGCACTGGTTGCAAGCACCGTAAGGAAGCGCTATAGGAAAAAAAATGCATTACTAGATTTTTGAATGATTAAAACTTTCCTTATCAAATAAGTGTACACAATTGAATATAGTGTTTATTTATGATGAAATATATCACGGAACTACTCTGATATGCGCCCTCAAGTCGCCAAATACATTTGGCGAGAAACTTCACGCTGCCATATTACTATCTAAATTTTTTGTCTACATTTTGAACTTTTAGCCTAAAATGTCTCCAAAAACGCGGTTTTCGCACATGCAAAAACTACGTTTTGAACACACAATTTAGCTAAAAATCCGAAACAAAAACAAAAAATTTAGATAGCAAAAACGTAAAGTTTCTAATCAAAAATATTTGACAAGAATCCATGTACACAGCGAGATGTTTTAACTTAAAAAAACATCTACGAATTGCACAATGTAGGCAAGGAACGAATCTACAAACTACGCCCACCTGGCTTTAATAAATTAACATAACAACAACAAATTTCAAAGAATACCATGTACACAGCATCCTGTTTAAACTTAAAAAAATTCTACGAATTGCACAATTTAGGCAAGGAAGGAATCTACGATCTACGCACTCCTCGCTTTAATATAACATAACAACAATAAATTTCAAATAATACCATGTACACAGCGATCTGTTTCAACTTTAAAAAAGTCTGCGAATTGTACAGTCTAGACACTAAACAACAAAATAAACTAAAATAAATTTCAAACACTTTAAAAAAACAACAATAACGACAGAAATTCATACTAAAGAACCAATGAACATACCATTCTACAAAATAAGAACAAGGATAAAATAAAATGCACTTACCATGAATTAATGCGTTTTCGAATAGCAGAAATATAAATTTCATACCGCCTTTAACATGCCGCCACGTAATCACTATCGTATTTACATGACAGCCAGACACACTATCCAGAAAATTTATACTATGGTTCACAAATAAATAAAATCACAAATCCCTACTTCTATCATGCACTGCCATTAAAAATAATCTCCCAGACCCTCTTTCCACACCTTCCAAATACCCCACTACCCCTCAACAGGAGGATAGCCACAATAATATTTCCTTTTGCCGAACTTCAATTCAACAACTACCATTTTATCTTTCCCTCCCATCTTCTCAGACACAGAGGCGAACCAATGAGCTCCAGCGAAAGATTTTTCAACGTCAACAGAGTTGCCATAGAACACGCAATCGCGCCAAAAACCAGCGCAGAACACATATCGCCACATTTGGTGAAATTAGGGCGTATATTAGAGTTGTACCTATATCACAATAAACTTTCTTCCATTATTTGGCTTTGCCATTTTTAACAACTTATTTCAAATGTAAGATTTCATGTTCTATAACTTTAATTTCGAAAGGCTAATTCTTAACTAGTAGTAAGGTTATTTTAACTGCTTACTTAAAACTTTCAAACTTTTTTTTTTTTTTTTTTTTTTTTTTTTTTTTTTTTTTAGCCATTTTGGGGTATTAGACAGTAATCTGAAATTCAAACTGTATTCATGCCCTCATCCCAAATGTTCATGTGATAGATAAAATAACAATGTTTGGTGATTTTTCATGATCAAATGAAGATACCAAACATTTCAAGTATAATGTAAATGTAATATCGGACGGAATCTATTTTCAGAATTTCCATGGTGAACAAATAGTCATACATATTTTTATTTTTATGCTATACTGCATAACATAAAAAGTGTGCGATATTGTATTTTTTAGTTTTCATTTCATCACGCATATTCTACCAGTTGGTCAATATATAGTATATAAAGCGAAATGTAAACCTAATTTGTCACGCCTTTACTGTTCATACAAGCATGCTTCACAAGCGGATGGGGTTTCTTCTTTTATTTCTATTTATTTTCCATGGGTATAAAATTCCTTGGTGACTTAAAACACAGACTTAATTCGATGTTTAAATTATATACGTTTCTGTAGTCAATATTCTTAAAGGAAATTTCGAATTCGTACGCTGCGGGACAATTTTTTTTTTTTTTTTTTGGTAAATCCAATGGCGGGCTATTCAGCACCGGCCACTCCTAAGGCCAGAAGTGGTGGCTACTTTATTGTGGTGACACCTAACAGGCGGCCACCTTTTCCTCTTATGAAAAAGACGGACAGTTACAACCATGCCTTCTCCGGAATTCGAACCCCTGCTCTTTAGTAATGCTAATACTCCGCTAAATCACTATACTGTCTGGGCTGCCGGACTAAAATATGATCATAAATAATGATTAAAAGTTCTTAACATATGAAACTTACATGTTTTTTAACATCACATATTTTTTTATGGCAATTCTTCAGCATTTACGTTCTACGAATATTTAAATAATAACCAGAAGCTTGTCTTTTATGTTTTTTTTTTTTTTATTTTTTTTTTTTTTTTTTTTTGTTTTTTTTTTTTTTTTTTTTTTTTTTTTTTTTTTTTTTTTTTTTTTTTTTTTTTTTTTTTTTTTTTTTTTGTTTTTTTTTTTTTGTTTTTTTTTTTTTCTTTTTTTTTTTTTTTTTTTTTTTTTTTTTTTTTTTTTTTTTTTTTTTTTTTTTTTTTTTTTTTTTTTTTTTGTTTTTTTTTTTTTTTTTTTTTTTTTTTTCTTTTTTTTTTTTTTTTTTTTTTTTAATGTCCTAAATTAAATTATATTAGTTTTTTACTAGTTTACATGAAAGATGTTTCTTATTCCAATTTCTTTGCCAGAATCAGAATCACCATAAAGTTGCATCATTTTTATTGGAAGACTAAGTTTCTGATTTTTAGTAATTGATTGTTGATTGTAACTTTTCAATCTTATTTTTCCATTTCTTTTCATTCATTTCGTTGGCATACTCATATTTAACTCTCTGACTACGAATTAAAAAAAATAAATAATGGCATTAAGCAGGGAAGATATTTAGCGCCAACTGGGTAACAAAAGATGAAACATGCGCAACTGGTTTGACTCTAGGACTGGGATACGTTACAGTGTGTTTCGAAGTACTTTTTAACCCAGCAGTAATTTTTAAATTTTTAGTAGGACATACATGTCCCGTTAATAGTCAAAGGGTTAAAGCAAAACTCAAAATTTTTGCTTTAATCAAAAATATTTCCTCTCAATTTTAAGATAATGATAATCGCTATTTGACTGAAGATCACTTTTCCTGTACTTACAATTTCTTCTCCGCAAAGTTTGGCCACATTTTCTCTGTTACTTAAAGAATTGAATTTCATAGAATATTATCCAAAGTACTTAAAACTGCAGAATAGTACCTTGGTAAAGTTATGTTATACTACAGTTCATTAAGGAAAACTTTCTAGGGTAATTAAAAGGTGTCCGTTAAGGCCATGACATTCAGAATATCTGAAGCTCATTCCCATAACCCAAGTGAGCTCGGAGCAGACAGAAAAAAAGAAGTCTGCACGGCAACATGAGAGTTAATCATAAGGTCTAGAGTGGGGGACAGAAAGTAACCTAGACCTGGAGTCCACGTAGTGAGGCTTCTAATCAGATGAGTGGTCCTAAGATGATAGTCATGGATGATGATTACACAGTTCAGATTTTACGAGCAGTTGATTGTCACAGATTCTCGCTTTTCAAAAAGTGCACATTAATGCGCTGTAGAAGGCCCTGAAGTGGTTCCATTTTGAGGTCCTTTCTGTTTGCAAAGTGCACGTATAGTTGTCAGTATCCGTATCAGTGTTATATTAAAAGTGTTTCTAGAGGAGAACAGTATCTTATATTAGATGAAGCGAAGAGAAAAATGAATGCATGGTGTGGACGCACTAAACTGTTCAAAGTTTATTAAGTTTAAAAGTGGTTTTTTTTTTTTTTTTCCCCCAAAATATTGTGCAAGTGAAGTTTTTGATTAATTTCATGATTTATTTTATTAACATTATTGCTCATTATTGAGCAAAGTGAGAGTTATGTTGCAAAATAAAACAATAAAATATTTTATCTATCTACGTTTAACCTTTATTTAATGTTATTTATTTTCGTTTAATCTTTAGTTTTATCGGTGTCTCAAAATGTATATACAAATTTAAAGTTGGATTTATTATCTACTTTTAAATCTTCCCGTTTTCGTTTTTGTATAATTCCTATAGTAGTAGTTCCATGCTTTCGCAGATTCGATTCGTTTCGCCCACTATATGTAATATAAATGCAATTGCTATTTATTTCAACAGTCGCAACTGTTCTGTGCGATGTCGTTACATGTTTGACTAATATATTGCCTATTAAACTTACATTTCTTAGTTCAGCTAATTTTGCCCATTAAAAGCTTTTACTGCACATTATTTTCCCATGCTTTGTATAATCAATCAGTTACTTCAGTATATATGGATCGACTAGTCAACGGTCATTTGGACCTTGTCTGACTTCGTCAGAAGCCAGAGAAAAAGGCAATACAACAGTATATATGTTAGATTAGTATTATTATTGTAACTTACTAGAATTCTTCTATGTACCTGCTGCTTAAAATTACTTTTTATTCTGCTTTTTGTCTAAGCATAATGTTATATCCTGATCTGGGTACATATAATTTCTCTTTCTATTTAGTATGTTAAATGTCTGCCTGAGCTATCATTCTAGTCTTAAGCCTGCGTCTGGCAATTAGCAGATTCCACTGATAATGGGGGTTTCGTCAAAATTCCCTTGACTAAGTTGTAGATTCAGGGGTTGCTGATTATAATAGCTGAACGCAGAGACGCTGGTAAACTCCCTTGCCAGCAGGCTGAAGGAATGTTATCCATCAAAATTAAGATGGACTATAGCAAATTACATTCATCACGCACAGTCATCAATTAGGTGTTCAGTAACCTGGCTGATGACAAATGACCTCTCTCCTTCCCCATAAAAATTCATTAAGTTGTTCCGGTGCTTATCAAAGGACATGGAGATGCTAAAAATTATGATATTTAAACAACTTTCGTGTTGATTGCAATTTCACTTTTTATAATTAATTTCTTATTTTGTAGATAATTCGACGCTGTCCTAGCCGTTCTTTTGATGCTAGTGCCTCACTCGCCTCTCCATTGCCCAAAACGTATTTTCTGTAATTCCTATCCAACAACGACAAACGTGTTTTTGAGAAAGGAAACGTTTAGTGGAAGCGAAAATGCGCGTACTTCCAGGTAAGCTCCAATTCTCAGCTTTTATTCCTTTATTTCCCGTTTATATGCTAAATTTGCTTTGCTTAAAATTAAATTTAAAAAAGAATAGAAACCTAGATAAAACAAGTTTGAACCATCCTGAATCGCTATGCATTTGTACATTATGCATGTGCTCATATATTTAATGCAGTGTGCAGTTGTATATGTAGCAATGAAAGTACGAAGCAATTTTTGTTGTTTGTAATACTATGTAACAGTTATGCAGCTTCATGAATATTTTATGTTGTAAAATTAGGTAAAGCAACAACCTTGTGTTCGGCGTAGATTTAGTCAAGTCTGTATCGATTTCGAGGACGGATAAATAGGTACAGGCCCTTCTTCAGCAGGAGCAAAGGAAACTGCAATGCAGATACTAAGATTCTAAGGTAGTATTACTGGGGATAAAAACAGTACTTCCCAGTATCTTGAAAGAGCTCCCGAAGGACATGGCGTTGAAGGGAAATCGGGTGGGTCTTGCAGCAGGAAATCATCATAAGGAAGCTGAAAAGAGAATCAAGAGTTAGTGAATGTGCCGCCCTCTGGTGGCGAGGGCAGTAGTCAGAAGAAAACCAAAGTTCTTTAAGTGGAAACCAGCGACTTCATATAACAGGTAGACGGCTCACCCACAGAGAATTCGTCTGCTAGGCCCGTCTCCAACATATACTACGTATATATCTCGTTGGTGTAAACGGGATCCACTTATCCACAGTTAAACGGAATCAGGAGCTGGCGAATACACACAGAAAAAACCATGAAACCCAAGCATGCACCCAGTCCGTTTGCCTGAGATCGAAACCGGGTCGAAGAAACGTTGTCACCGCTCCCTACGGTGAGGACAGTTTCATGGAGGTAGGAAGTTAAATGGAGTGGCCCTAAACCGGTTTACCCATACCCTGCTTTGAAGCACTGGCGACAAAGCTGGCGATCCCTTCTTTGGTGACCTTAAGTTCAATGAGTTTTGACACGATCGGATGTAAATACTCGTATTTTGTAATTACGTCGTAAATATGCATACAAATGTATATATTTTCCTTTTCTACAATACTTCAGAGGCCTAAGTATATGAAAAGAATACATTTTTAAACAACATTTCATTCTGAACGGAATTAAATGCTATGCTTTTCACAGAACAGTTTGCTCAGAATGGTTTAATTTGAAATATTTTCACAAGTTTTCGTTAATTACATTAGAAAAAAAAATTGATATTAATCGATTTGATTCGGTTAAGGATTACAAAAATTAAGATCAAAGTTATTGTATTATGAAAATTATGCATTATTTCTTTTCTATTTATAGAGCTTCTTTCTAAAATACTTTCTCAAATATGACATAATTTTTTAGCTTCTGAGGCATTTTTTAAATCAAAAACTATAAGTAAATGTATAATTAATGCTCTATTCGGTCCATTTCAAATTTGAGCACCTTTTAATTTAATAGCTAAATACTTTGAATAGTACTTAACTTTTTCTGAATATTTCTGAAAGGGAATAAAATAAGGATTATTTTTTAAATATTATTTAAAACTTGTAACTGACTTATATAAGGGGAATATATGACTGATAAGGGAAATAATTCTTTTAATTATACTTATTAGATTTTTTTTACCCTTACCCTTAATTTCAACAATACATATTCCAAAACTCTTCTTTATTACTTTCTTAAGTACGCATCTCATAGAAATTGCTTTACAATACCTTTTAACAGATTGCTTTCCAGTACGAACAATTCTTGCTTAAATAGTTTTATAACGTATTTGTCAACAGGATGTCAATTTATGTTTATAATTCAATGTTAAGGTTATTATATATTTAGACAATATTTATAATCATTATAAACTTAGATACATTTAATAATTAGATTTCTTCACAGTAACTTTCACAGTTATTTATGAATGAATAAATACTTCATTTCAAAAACATTTATAAATAATTAAATAAATATTTACGTATTTTGTTAAAGGTACATACATGCTTTTTGGAAGCACATGCATAAATACCCATATATATGTAGCGTATTCGGAAACTAACTACCGTTTCATTCTAGCGCCGTCGCAGCGCTGTGGTAAGCGTCCCGCGCATGCGCACTAGTCTTTCTTGTTCACTGACTTTCAATTGTCGCCATTTTGGTTGCTCTATGTTGTGTTTTCAGTTTGCTGTGCACATTCAAAATGTTTGAGACAATTAGTTCTCCCGCTGACTGTGAGATTCGTGCCGTGATTAAATTTTTGAACGCGAGGAATGTTAAACCGGCCGAAATTTATCGTCAAGTGAGAAGTTTACGGTGAATACGCGATAAGTGATGGAATGGTGAGAAAGTGGGTAAGAATGTTTAATGCAGGACGAACAAATGTCCACGCCGAGGCTCGGAGTGGTCGGCCTTCTGTTGTCATCGATGATTTGGTAAGGAAAGTTGATGAAGCAATTCAAGAGAACAGACGCTTCACAATGACAACTCTTTCAGAGGCATTTCCACAAATTTCACGTACTGTTTTGTTCGAAATTGTGTCTGACCGCTGGAATTATCGCAAACTGTGTTCCCAATGGGTTCCAAAAATGCTCACTGATGTTCACAAAACAAAGCGACTTTATAGTGCCCTGACATTTCTCACGCGGTACAGTGATGAGGGAGATAACTTTTTAAACCAAATTGTGACAGGTGATGAAACTTGGGTGTGTCATTTCACACCAGAATCGAAACAACAATCGATGGAGTGGAGACACACTCATTCTCCGAAAAAACAATTCAAAGTGACAATGTCATCACAAAAAATCATGTGCACTGTCTTCTGGGATAGGAAAGGCGTTTTGCTTACTGAATTTCTTCCAAGAGGTGAAACCATTAATGCGGCATGATATTGTGAGACTTTAACAAAACTAAGGCGTGCCATTCAAAACAAACGAAGAGGAATGCTCAGTAAAGGAATTGTGTTGCTCTATGACAATGCTAGGCTCCATACTGCTGGTGTCACTCAATCGTTAATTCGACAGTTTCATTGGGAGCAGTTCGATCACCCGCCGTACAGCCCGGACTTGGCGCCGTCCTACTATCACTTGTTCCTGCACATGAAGCGCGAGCTTGGTGGCAAGCGCTTTGGATCTAACGATGACACGAAAAATGCTGTGGAGTCGTGGTTATCGAAACTGGCGGGGAGTTTCTTTGACGATGGTATACAAAAACTGGTCACCCGCTATGACAAGTGATTGATCATTGGCGGAAACTATGTTGAAAAATAGTTTAAGACATGTATTTTCGTGTAAAAATAAAATTGGATTCGAAAAATTTGTTTTACTATTTTTTTTTTCTTTTCAAAACGGTACTTAGTTTCCGAATACGCCTCGTATTTTATATTTTTCATTTCCGGCATGTGGAAATCTTTAATTTCTGTGCATTCACTATATTTTTCGAGTAAAGTAATTTACACTAATTTTAAAAAGTACATGTTACAATAATATGTGGATGTGAAAAAGAATTCATTTTATTTAAAACATTTCGGCGTTTGGAACATTATGCTTCTAGAGCGTGGGAAACAGCTTTAGAGAAGATGAATTCTCGTATACTTCTCAGAATTCAAAGAAGAATTTTACTAAGATTGTGTGTGGCTACAGAACAATTAGCTATGAAGCCTGTTTCGTAATTTCAGGAATTCCTCTGATTGCCCTTCATGTTTTAAGTGACAAAACTTTTAACGATACCATCAGCAAATTTATGTTTGATACCAAGGTGCTGGTATTGAACATAAATTTGTGGTATCGAACATAAATTTGCTAATGGTATCATTAAACTTCCTCATCCTGCAAATCGTTTGCCAATTCAAACTATCATTTATGGCAATTCTGTTGATGGTAATTTCCCTGTTGTGTGTTATACAGATGGCATTAAAATTAAAAATCGAGTTGGATTAACTTATGTCGTTTTCCATGATGGTTCTGAACTGGAATACAAACTCTTTAGAATTCCCAATGAATGCAGTGTTTTCCAAGCCGAATTACTGTGCATTAGTGAGTCAATTAAGTGGATATCTAACAACTGTTCGCTAAGTGCTAAATTTCCTATTCGCACTGATTCTCTTTCATCCTTATATTCTCTTAGGAATATCTTCTCATATAATAAATTAACTGTCACTTCCCATGCTCTTCTTAAAGACCTTAATAATAAGGGTGTTGATGTTATCTTTTCTCATGTACGTGGCCTCACTGGCAATCTAGGAAATGAAAGGGCTGATTGGTTGGCAAAACAAGCTACACATCTTCAAGTAATTACTCCAATGATACTTCCCAAGTCATTTTACAAGAACAAAAGTAGGGATGATACAATACTCAAGTGGAATGAACTATACAGGAATTCTACTACTGCCTCTTTGACTAAACTATATTTTCCTTCCATTCCGCACAGACTGAATAATAAATACTTTTTCTGCAATTTTGAAGTTACTAATTTCTAACTGGACATGGTAAATTCAATTCATATCTGAAGAGATTTAGATTATCTAGTACAGACTTGTGTTCATGCAGTTTCGGGGGAGTGAAATGTCGAACATTTGTTGTTCTATTGTTCAAAGCTCAAGGAAGGACGAAAGGAACTCATTTCTAGGTTAAACTCTGTGAATATTACACTTCCTCCCCCTCTTCACGTATTTGTCCAACATAAAATGGCTTTCTCTTTCATCTGTAAATTTATCTCTTACGTGTCCTCTGTGAATTTGTAAGTTTATTTTATTTTGTGTTGTGTTGTTGTATTTGTTTTGTTTTTTTTTTTACTTACCTCTGTAAGCCTTGTGTAATACTATGTGGTGCACAGGTACAAAAAGATCCTTAAGTTATTCACCTTTAAAGATTAGGCATGTGTTTAGATTAAGTGAAATTAGGTTGAGTTTATAGGATGAGACGTCAAAACAATTGAGTAGTTTCAAATGCTTGGCTGAGTAGTTGACTTTTAAATGACCGAGAATTACGCAGATTATTAATCTTATGTTATTTAATCCG